CTGTCCAATATGGTAGCCACTGGCCACATGTAGCTATTTTAATTATTATTATTATTATTATTATTTTGTCTTTTTGTCTTTTTTCGTGACCGGCAATGGATTGCAACCCTCAGTGTCGCGCCCATACTGGACCGGGACCGGCAACGGGATCACAACCCCCGGTGTTGCCCCCGCTCCTTGCTCAGCCAGTGAGCGGCCGGTCTGTATGTGGGATCCGAACCCTCGGTGGGAGCGTCACTGCGCTCCCAAGCGGCGCACTGTAGCAGTGCACCACCAGGCCGGCCCCTAATTATTTTAATTTAAATTAAAACTCAGTTTCTCAGCTGCACTAGCCACACTTCAGGTGCTCAATGGCCTCATCAGCTAGCAGCTCCCCTATTGGACAGCAAAGGTGTAGAATGTTTTCACATCCAGAAAGTTCTATTGGACAGCGCTGCTCCACAATATCACCTCCTGCGCATCCTGATTACCCGTAATAAGTGAGGATGGGAATTTAAATTTAAACAACTGGCAGTTTGGGAGATATAGCTAGGGAAGTTGTGATAGCCATGACCAGAAAATTTCCAGTGTGTTTTCATGTAAACCCAATAGTGGGCCTGAGGCCCTTTCCTCTGGCCTCCCTTCCTCTCCTCCTGGTGGCTCCTGGTGTCCTCTCCCTGGCTGGGCCCCTGAGAGGATAATTAAGGTCAGTGCCAGGGTAGACTTCCTGGGGAAGGGCCCCACCTCTTCTGGACTCATTAGGCAAGGGCAGCCTTCCTCAGGCAGGCATGGCTGCCTCCAGCCTGGTGTTGACAAGCCGCATGTCCCAGGCCTGGGTTGGCACGACCTCTAGCTGCTCATGGGACAGAGAAACTGCTCTCAGAGAATTTCCTTTCCATTAGCTTCTAGAGTTGGGAAGGACTGAACTCAGTGTTCTGCTGAAATGGCCCTGACCCTAGCCCTTTGGCCCCTCTGGAAAAGGATTAGGGGAGGACTGGAGGAATCAGGAGGTCTTGCTTAGTTTTCTTGAACAGTCTCAGGTGTCGCCTCCACACATCCTGTGCCCTAACCCCCTCCTCTGGAGAAGGCTGCACGGTTGGCATGTAGTAAGGGCAGCTGTTTGACAACTCTGTTCAAACGGTACTGGCTTTCTGGAGTCCTGTGTTGAGAAGGATTCTGAGGTTGCATCCAGTTTTAGTGGGAGAGAGTGCTGTGATCATTAGCCATGTCTGACATGGGCATGGAAACAGGTTGTGCCAACATGCTTGCTGCATTTTGGTTTTCCCCGAATCAAGAAAATCAGTTAACCAGGTAGTGTGCATGGATCTCACACTCTGTATCAGGCACTGTGTTAAGCCCCATGTGTCTATGCATGTGTTGGGAGGGAAGGTAAAATACAAAATGGCACAAGCCATTGTCCTTGTCTTCAAGGAGCTCCCAGTTTCAGGTACAGAAAGGTGGCAAGTCATGTGTCAGAGGTAATGCCTACTGAATGAACATGTCAGACCAGCGGTGCCCCTAAGCAGAAGAAGAAGCTATTGTGGCAGACTGGGGCATGGGGGGTGGAGGAGTGTAAACTGAGTCTGCGTGAAGACTGGAGAGGAGGGGTGAGTAGGAGACATTTCAGGTCATGGCTGGGGAGGAAGTTTCAAAGGATCAAATCTTTCCTGGGGTGGAAGTCTGAGGAATGACAGTGGCTTTTGCTCCCTAAGGGGACACCCGCTCTAGTGAGATGCCCGAGCTCACCTCCATGCACACCCTATTTTTGCGGGAGCACAACCGGCTGGCCACACAGCTCAAGCGCCTGAATCCCCGCTGGGATGGAGAGAGGCTCTACCAGGAAGCCCGGAAGATCGTGGGGGCTATGGTCCAGGTAGGCTGTCCTGAGCGTCAGGCAGACTTGGGATCTAGATGTGCCTCTGCAACATCCTGGTGGTGTGACCTTGGGGAAGTTACTAACCCTCCTGATCCTTGGTTTCTTCACCCCTGATGCTATAAGGATTAAATGACATATATGAAAACACCTGGCAGATAAAGTGCTTGACAAAGGCTAATTTCCTTCCCTCCTCTTCTTCCCAGGCCTACTCCCTGCTTTCTTCTTTCCTGTGGGTCCAGGAATAGTGTGGGGAGGGTTGAACAGGTGGTCTAAAGTGACTGGCGCACAGTAGCTTTCAAGTAAATGCACCTGCCTTCCTCCATCTCATTGTCACTCCTGGCTCTTTACCCAGTCCCCTCTTCTTTTTGGCTTTGTCACAAGCCACTCAAGCACCTTAGCCTCATTTATGCCTGGGGCAAGGTTCCTGGTTTTGATGCTCCAGTGCCCCCATCTTCTCTCCAAGATGCAAACACACACACACACACACACACACACACACACTCCCAGATTCTGGAGGCAGCGGGGGTTGTGGTTGGGAGTTGTAGGTGCTGAGGGTGAGTTTTTGATTTTCAGGAAGGACTCAAGTGAGAGTAATTTAAGCTTCAGAGGAGATTCTAGAGTCTAGGACGTGGAGTGACACTGTTTCACATCTTCCCTTTTCGCCGGGGGCAATCATGCTAGAGCAGCCCTTCGTTCCTTCCTGCCTCCCCTCCTTCCACAAACCTATATGGCCATGAAGCTGTGCAACCTGACTAACCAGCTGGGGCTGCTGGCTGTCAACAGTGAGCCCTACTGTGGGTCAGGCACTTGCTGGGCACTGGAATAATTCCAATTTCCCTCGCTGTCGAGGAGTTTATAATACAGCAGGAGAAATGAGATATTAATAACTCAATGGCAAGGGAGGTATCACAATGACTAACAAAGTGCTTTGTTACTTAATCCCCTAAGGCAGAGGGTGATATAATTCTCCTTAATTTGCATGTGACGAACTGGGGCTCAGAAAGGTTAGTAACCAGTTCAAGGTGATACAGCCAGCAAACAGTAGCTCTGCTTATTCCCCTCAGTGCCACTTTGTTAGGCCCAGATCCAGTATTGTAAGATCCAATTCCCCAACCATAGATGGACAGGAGGATGCCCCCAAGCCAGGAGCAGATGGAGACTCTGCAGGAAGGAGTGAGTGGACAGGTTATTCCAAGCGACTTTTCTTTAGATCATCACTTACCGGGACTATCTGCCCCTGGTGCTGGGGCCAGAGGCCTTGAGGAAGTACCTGCCCAAGTACAGCGGCTACAATGACTCGGTGGACCCGCGCATCTCCAATGTTTTCACCAATGCCTTCCGCTATGGCCACACCCTCATCCAGCCCTTCATGTTCCGCCTGGACAATCGATACCGGCCCATGGAGCCCAACCCCCGTGTCCCACTCAGCAAGGTCTTTTTTGCCACCTGGAGGGTAGTGCTGGAAGGTGAGCATGACCTAGGCCAGGAGATGGTGGGCTGGGAGCTGAGGCAGGGGTGGGGGTGGGGGGCTTGGCTGCAGGGAGGTGGGATGGGGAGAAGTCTTCTTTCCTCCCTTCTTTGGGAATCTGGTCTGACTTTCCAGCCTCAGTTCACCTGACTCTGCTTCTATATCGGGTAATAAAGAGTGGAGGGGAGATGGCTGTCAGAGGGAGCTGGGTCCTTTCGATGTGCTGTGACTGTGACTCAGGAGGCAGGGGCTTGCAGCATCACAGCCTTGCAAGTCTGAATGGCATAGTCCCCTGAGATCTGTGTGCCCCTGGAGTCATGTGGTGCCCTGTGAGGACTGCTCACCAAGACCACCTTGGCACCAGGCACTGATGTGCTCAGCCCTCTTATCCAATCCCCCTGACACCACCTGCCTTGCCCCTGACTCCAGTCTGAGCTCTGATACTGGGCTGGTCTTTCCCCCAACCTTGCTCCTCTTACCCCAGGTGGCATTGACCCCATCCTCCGAGGCCTCATGGCCACCCCTGCCAAGCTGAATCGCCAGAACCAAATTGTGGTAGACGAGATCCGGGAACGATTGTTTGAGCAGGTCATGAGGATCGGGCTGGACTTGCCTGCTCTGAACATGCAGCGCAGCCGGGACCATGGCCTCCCAGGTGAGGAGTTGCAGGAGTGTCCCCTGCCCCCATCCCCGGCCTCTCAGGTAGCCCATAGCTCCCCTTCCCACTCTAGGGCCCCTGCCCTCTCTAGTACTCCCAGCTGCCCAAACTTTCCCCCCATCCCAGCACTTTGCCGTCAGGCAGCTCTCTGAGGTCAGACCCTACCCTTGCCTGGGCCCACCTGGTCACTTTTCACCTCTTCCCGGCCTCCTTCACGTGATGTAACCCTCAAACTTGGAGCGTCATTAACAATGACAATAACCCACAGTCTGGAGATCTGTCTCCAGCATCATTTCATTTTGCTTCATTGTGTCTGGACTCTAAGGGGAAGAGATTATTATTATCTCCATTTTACTGATGAGGAAACTGAGGCTTGGAGAGATTCAGAATCTGGCCAGATTCTCTAGCCGAGTCAGTGACAGAGCTGACATTTGAACCCAGATCAGCCTAACCCTAAAGCCCATGCCTGTGTTATGGGGTGGCCCATGTGGCTGAGGGTTCTAGACACACTTCACCCCTCACAGGACAGAGACACACACATTGGGTTGCTCCAGAGAGGACAATGAGATTTCTCTATTTTTGGACCTGGCAGGAGTTATGGCAATTTAGGGTTTGCTTCAGGACAGGAGGGCAAGGGAAAGACAGTGAGGGTCCTAGAGAGGCCCAGCTGCCCCCTTGGCCTGAACAAAGAGTTCAGGATTCCCTAGGACCCCTCCCTCTGCCTATGGACTTGGTGTGTTAGGAAGGCGGGTTTTCTGGGGTGATGGCATATATATGAGTCTTCCCTGCTGTCCCCAGGGACCTCCCCACAGCCACCTGCCCCCCCCCCACAGGGTACAACGCCTGGAGGCGCTTCTGCGGGCTCCCGCAGCCCAACACAGTGGGCGAGCTGGGCACAGTGCTGAAGAACCTGGGCTTGGCGAGAAAGCTGATGGCGCTGTATGGCACGCCCAACAACATTGACATCTGGATGGGTGGCGTGGCCGAGCCCCTGCAGCCCAATGGCCGCGTGGGCCCACTCCTCGCCTGCCTCATAGGCACCCAGTTTAGGAAGCTCCGGGATGGTGATCGGTAAGCAAGTGTGGAGGGCATCGGTGAGCAAGTGTGGAGGATGGCTCGGGCCTGCTGGGCAGCTGCAGGCCTATCCCTGAACCTCTGGGGCCCAATTTCCTCCTGTCAAATGGAGGGCTGGAAGGAGTCAGTGATTTTCCAGTGTGTTCCAGGGAGCCTTCAAGTTGTCCCTCACGTGCCCCAAACCTATCAGGGGTGTAGCAAGGAGGGATCTGGACTCCTGGTTGTGCAGGAAAAAGACAGAAAAATGCCACCCTTAGCTACTTCTTTCTCCAGCTTACACTGTGCAACCGTGGAAGTGTCAGTCTCTATAACACGGTCCCGTCCTAGCTTTCTCTCGGCTTCCCTTAGTGTCATTTCATCATGGTCTTGACATCTTCATGTCTAGTTCTTACTTAGCCTATATTGCACATTTGAGGAAATTTTAAAAAGGTGCCCCTCTCTGGGTGGACAAATTATAAACCACCCCCAAGATCCTCTCCGACTCCCATGGATGCAGCTGTGGGCCAGGGCACAGGGCCACCTGAGCGATGGGGCCCGGCTTCCCCTCTAGCATTAGTGGTGCCCTGGATGTCGCTGGGCTGGGGCTTGTGTTTTCCTCTGGGCTGTGAGTGGGGGACCACCAGTGTGAAAACCCCAGGACCGCCAAGGGCCTGGAGCTCTCCCGAGCTGCAGGGTGGTGTCTGCTGTGGTCCTCTTATGCCCGGGGAGCAGCTCAACCCAGGTGACGCCCTCCTAGACCAGGCTGTCCTCAGGTACGATGTCCGCGGGTGTTCCCCATGCAGGTTTTGGTGGGAGAACACGGGCGTGTTCAGCACACAGCAGCGGCAGGCCCTGGCCAAGATCTCCTTGCCCCGCATCATCTGCGACAACACAGGCATCACTACCGTGTCCAAAAACAACATCTTCATGTCCAACTCATTTCCCCAGGACTTTGTCAACTGCAGTACACTCCCTGCGTTGGACCTGGCTCCCTGGAGGGGCAGTGCCTAGAGGCTGGGTAAGGGGATGCATCAGTGAGGGGTATACGAGGGCTGGCCACTTGGAACTCCAGAGATCGCCCTTCCCTACGTGGGCTCATCCCTGTTCCAGTGCCAGCTGGAAGAATAAGTGACGGGACATTCATTCGTATGTGTATGTTTGTGTGTGCATGTGTATATAAACTGGGATTTCATATGTGCATTGTCTGTGAACACGGGTAGTGTTTTATGTGCTCCGTGTGGGTGTCATTGATGTGAGTGTGTGTTTGCTATTTATGAGAGTATCAGGTAGTGGAAAGCTGCAGAGCAGACCGGAGGAGCACAGCTCAGGAGCCAGACTGCCAGGTTCCAGTCCCGGCTGAGTTATGGGCCCTGGCCAGCCAGGCTCAGTCCCTGGCCCCCCTTTTTCTTCCTTACTCTGTTCTCTTGCTTATTCACAGGAGCCCACCTGGAGAGGAACTGGGGCCCACTGGCCTTTCTGTACTATTTGTTTATTTTATGATAATAAAGTGCTGCTGATGGGGATCTCTGCTCTGTCCATGTCTGCGAAGGGACTGGAGCCTCAGCAGGAGGTTCACTCTGGGCTCTGAGCTTGAGTTCAGTGGGGTCTGTGCCTCAGGGCCCCGTGTTTCTGGACTGGGGGGGGGTATGGGGGAGTTCTCCTTTGGCTAACCTGTACATGGAGGGCAGTGGGTGTTTGGAAGGGCAGGGGCCAGACCATGCTTAGCAGACTCTCCTCCCCCAGTGTCCACTCCTGCCACCCCTCAGGCTAGGAACCATGGTCACCAAGGCCTCCCATTCATTCATTGCTCTAGCAAACGTTTGCTATATGCTTACTCTGTGTCAGGCCTGTGCCAGGTGCTTAGAAGTAGAGAGGACAAAAGTGTCCTGAGAGAGAGAGGGAACAGAGGTCTGGTGGGAAGGCAGGCCCTCCACAGATGATGGGGACCTCTGCGTCTCTGCAGCCTGGCCCAGTGGTTCAGAGGCCCTCCAGACAGAAGACTCCCTGTCACTCCTGTCTTTATGTGGCCAGGCCCCCAGAGCAGTGACAGCAGATGGCTGGGCTGGCACAGAGGGAGGGGAGGTGTGTATTCTCCTGGTGATTTTGCCTGGAGCTTGATCCCTATGCCTGACTGCTATGCCTGACTGATGGACCCCCTCCCCTTTCCCTCCCGTCTTGTCACACATGGGGAGGGGCACCTGCAGCTGGGAGCCGGAAGTGTGCAGGATGATGGGGCGGAGGTTTTCATGGGGCCCCCAGGTAATGTTAGGGCCTCACTGTGGTGAGCAGCGGGAGAAATACTCCCCTCCCATTCCACTGGTGAGGGGAGGGCTGCTCGGAGAGGTGAAGGGACTCATCTGAGGCCTCAAAGAAGTAGGTGCCAGAACCAGGGCTGCAGCCCAGGTGTTCTGGCTCCTGGGCTCTTCCCACAGGATGCTAAGTATCTCCCACTCTCACCCTGACTGTCAGGGCATCTGGAAGCCCTGCTGAGCTCACCTTACCCAGAGGGTCACTTTGAAAGAAGAACATATGAATATGTATTGGGTAGCAGCTCAAGGAATATTCTAGAGCTGCCCCTTCAGAGGCTTCACAGGCTCCAAGAAGTGCCCTAGAAGAAGAGAGTATGTCCTAGAAGGGCCACTAAAAGGAAATTAATTTTAGCTGTAAGGGAATCTAGGCTTGGTTTTCCTTCCCGTTTTATCCCTTGGCACCACCACCGGTAATCCCACCCCAAGTCCCCTCTCTTGCTACTCCACGGCCATTGCTTCTTTTTCTCAGGATCCCCTTGACTCCTCTCCTTTCTTTGAGAGCTCTTGGAAATCCCACCAAACCATGCCCTCTCACCCAACAGACCCATGCACATAACATCAGAGCGGTGAGGCATCTATGGACTGTAAACATCTAGTTACATGTTTGGCAGAGATTCCAAGGCCTGCCTTTGGAAGGAAACAGTGTCATTGCCAGCATCTTTAGTCAATCATCGGACATTTATTGAGGACTCACTATGTGCTGAGCATCATGCTGGGTGCCACCAGGGATACTTGGAAGCAGGCCAAAGCCCCTGGCTCAGGGAGCTTACAATCTAGTTGGAGAGAACAGGTGGAAAGTAAGGGTCAAAGGCCACAGCCTCAGTGAAGTCTTATTCATGGGAGAGGATGGGTTGCACGGGCAAGCTGGACTGGAAAAGCATCTCAGAGTGTCCCATTCTTAACAGAAAGGAGGATTTCCAGACAGAGAGTATGGGGTGGAAGTGGTGGGAGCCAAGTGGAAGAGCTGGAAAGGCTGAGGCAGCTGCCCTTGGCCTTGAGCAAGCTATTCATCTGGCAAGTGGAGAGAAGGGCTGAGACTGGGGTGTGGAGCACTAAGGGACTGGGGTCATTGAACTTGCTTGAAATTGCACTGTGGACTGAAGGGAGCTTTACTGTGTAGTGTGGGAGGCCGTGGAGCCCACGTCCCTAATCTCCACCGAGGCCCAGGGTGAGAGGTCCAGCTTATCAATGGCTGAGCAATCCACAAAACCTTGGGGGTAGTTGTTGGCCTGGAACGGGTCCAGTGGGACCTTAGTGATGTGGGTGTTGTCACAGACAAGGCGTGAGAAGGACATTTTCCGTAGAGAGTCCTGCTGCTTTTCTGTGAAGACACCAGGGCTTTCCCACCAGAACCTGCAGAGACAGAAGCAGGGTCACTCCAGATAGTCTAGCTGCTGACCCCTCCCCACTCTGCCACAGGGGGTCACTGGGAAGAGGAAAAAGCCCCCCATGCTGAGGAGAGGAGTTAGTCCATAGGCAGGACATTGAGACATGCCCCTTGGAGAAGGGCTCCCCCTGCCCTCTCTGGCTGAGATTTCACTTGCCTGTCTCCATCACGGATCTGCTGGAACTGTTTGCCTAGGAGGCAGGCCAGGAGAGGCCCCACTCGGCCCCTTTCTACCAGGGGCTCAGCGATGGCCCCCATCCAGATGTCAATGTTGTCTGGGGTCCCATATAGATCCAGTAACTTCTTGGCCAGCATCTCGTTCTGCAGCACAGAATCCAGCTGCTCCAGTGTCTGCGGCTGCAGGAGGTCACAAAAGCCTCTCCAGGAGTTGTACCCTAGGGTGGAGAGGCTAAGGCTGTCTCATCCAAGGGACTTCCTGACGTGGCCTCCTATGGGGGCATACCCACTCCAGCTCCATCAGCCCCCAAAAGTCTGGGCTCACAGACTGAGGTCACAAAAGCCTCTCCAGGAGTTGTACCCTAGGGTGGAGAGGCTAAGGCTGTCTCATCTAAGGGACTTCCTGACGTGGCCTCCATACCCACTCCAGCTCCATCAGCCCCCAAAAGTCTGGGCTCACAGACTGGGGAGGCAGTGATCTGTTGTTTTCTATCTGTGGCAGTTCAGTCTTGAGAGGGCTAGTAGGTAACGTGGTGCTTCTATGGGTCTGGGCTCTATTCTAAGCACTGTACAAACATGTAAACTGAATAACAGAACTGTCAAGGAACTTGCCCAGAGTCCCTTAACTAGTTAATGGCATAGCTGGGATTTGAACTCAGGCAGTCTGTCTCTTAATTACTACATTAAATTGCCTTTCATGGGTACAAAAGAAGGGTCCAACAGTCATCAAATTCTCTCTACTTTTTTGGTTTTACAAGTTAGTTGATCTCTTTTTCATTTGAGGAAGTCCAAGATAGTACCAGATATGTACTCCTGTTTCTGCATTAGAGAGAATGGAAGATTCCACATCATAGATGAGCAAAGTGGGTTTAAAAAACTGGCTTACCTTCTGTTTCAGAATTGATCAGATCTCCAAGGTTACAGAGGACAGTCTCCAAGACCCCAGAAAGTAGTTAAAGTTCCCCTGCCCAGGCCCACTCACCAGGCTGCCCATGGTCCCGGCAACGCTGGATGTTGATGGCAGCCAGGTCAAAGCCATGGATCCTGTGAGTCGGCTGGAAAAGCTTGCTGCGCAGCTCTTCAGTCATCATTTTATTCGATTTCATCAGCTTGGCCTTCTTGGCTAGCAGGCCCCGCACAAGAGGATCAGTTCCACCTGCCAAGGGAGACCCCGAGGCCATCCTTAGATGGGGGTGGGTGATGACATCTTCCACACTGGCCCCTCCCCCCACCAGACCTTTTCTCTCAGTTCCAGGCAGGGCCAGCTGAATGTCTCAGGCTGGAAGCAGGGACAGAAGAGCACAATGCAGCCCGTAAGGTGTGCCGAGGGGACAGGGGGGTCCAGACTGCTGGCTTTGGGGGTGGCAGAAAGGAGCAGGCATGGAGTGATGGGATGAATGTCAAGATTTTTTTTCAAGCTGTAGTTCATGGACTCAGCTCCTTCTCTCTCCATATGCTCCCCTGAGGAACATCACAGCGTGGGGAGAGGGAACATACATCTTTAGGAAATGGTCCTGACTTGGTAGGCCTTAAGTGAAGCCAGTTTCAGCACAATACAGCTCAGGAATAAAGGAGAGCTGGGTCCAGCCTCTGGCACCTCAGGGAGGTGGGAGGTTCTAGAGAGGAACAGAAAAGACCAATTTCTTTACCAAACCTATGAATTCTTTCTACAGAGGCCAGAGAAGCCTAGTTAAGGGAAAGGAGGTAGGGAAATCCCAGGCACCTTAGGAGCCAGAAAGAGGAAAGAAATAATACTAAGATTTACTGATTACCTCCTGTGTGTCAGGAACCATTGTAGGGTGCTCTACAGTTATATCATTTAATTTTTTGAATATCCTTCTGAGATGGGTACAAATGAAGAAACTGAGGCTGAGTGGAGTGAATTCACCTGCTTAAGGTCACACAGGAAGTGCTTGGAGTGTGACTTCCAAGCAGATTTCCCTATGAGAAGGCTACAGAGTGGCAGAGCCAGGTGACAGCATTTCCCTGAAAGGACATACCGTCTTTGACCATCCTCCAGGTGTTGAAGAAGAGGGTGTGCAGGGGGAGCTCTGGTTCTGGACCCCAGGGCTGGTAATTCTCATCCAAGCGGGACATAGTGGAGGGGATCTCCAAATGGCCAAAGCGAAAAGCAAAGGTAAAGACGTTGGAAATTCGGGGATCCACAGACTCATTGTATCCTTGGTATGGGGGGATCCACTTCTGCATATCATCACCTAGCACAATGGGTAGGTAGTCCCTAAAGGTGATAATCTGCAGGATGAAATAAGACATGAGGAAAGGGCGTGAGAAGGCTTAACCCCCTGCAAAAGGAGGCTGGAAAGGCACTGCCACTAAAAGATATGAACAGTCAAAAATCAGATGGCAAGTGGATAGCATGTGTACCCAGTTCCCATTCCTGTGACCATGGCAGACATTACTAATCAATCATATCGTCCTTTCTGCTGATCTCTCATGGTTTGTCTCAACATAGGCTTTACTAATCAGCCGTTTGTATTTGATACTGAGATAAACTCTCCTTATCATCTTTGCTCTAAGTTTATGACCTTAATGCTAAAGTGGCAGTCCTTGTGTGTCACTTTTATGTAACAATGTCATACTATTAAGCTTTTCCCCCTAGGCCAGGACAAGAAAAATGATGAACTGCAGG